CCCTGGAACGTAAATGGAAAAAAACTAATTTAGAGGTCTTTAGAATTGCGTACAAAGACAGTATGTCCAGCTATAGGAGGGCTCTAAAATCTGCCAGGACCGAGCACCTGCGCAAACTGATAGAAAATAATCATAACAATCCTAGATTTTTATTTAACACCATCTCTAAATTAGCAAATAATCGGTCATCCTTGGAACAAACTACTCCACCGCAAATTAGTAGTGATGACTTCATGAATTTTTTCAGTAATAAAATAGAAGGCTTTAGACAGAAAATAGGAGATGCCAAACTTTCTGCACCGGCTTATACTCCAAATCCTGTAAATATTTCATTAAATCATAATAATAACCTACACTGCTTCAAAATCATAGAACATGAAGAGTTAGTGAAAATTATAAATAGCTCTAAACCAGCTACGTGTATGCTGGACTCAATTCCAACAAAATTACTGAAAGAGCTGCTACCTGCTATAGGAGAACCTCTTCTTAACATTATCAACTCTTCTTTATCTATAGGCCATGTTCCAAACTCTTACAAGCTAGCTGTTATTAAGCCTATTATTAAGAAACCGCAACTAGACACCAACAACTTAGCTAACTATAGGCCTATTTCAAATCTTCCATTTATGTCTAAAATACTAGAAAAAGTTGTTTCCACTCAATTATGCTCTTTTCTGCAGACGAACAATATTTTTGAAGTGTTTCAGTCAGGTTTCAGGGCTCACCACAGTACAGAAACCGCCTTAGTGAAAATAACCAACGATTTACTCTTAGCTGCTGACCGAGGGTGCGTCTCGCTATTAGTTTTACTCGATCTTAGTGCGGCATTTGATACCATTGACCACAATATCCTCATAAATCGCTTAAAGTCTACAGGTGTCCAGGGACAGGCTCTACAATGGTTTAAGTCATACTTAACTGACCGCTACCAGTTTGTAAATCTTAATGGACAGCCTTCACAAATCTGCCCAGTAAAGTATGGGGTGCCTCAAGGATCAGTTTTAGGCCCTTTACTGTTTACAATTTACATGCTACCTATGGGAGACATTATTAGAAGACATGGGATCAGCTTTCACTGCTATGCAGATGATACTCAATTATATATTTCCACTAAACCTGACGAGACGTCTGAACTTTCTAAACTAACTGAGTGTATCAAAGACATCAAAGACTGGATGACCAACAATTTTCTTCTCTTAAACTCAGACAAAACAGAATTATTACTTATTGGGCCTAAATCTTGCACACAGCAGATATCGCAACTCAATTTACAATTAGAGGGATACAAAGTTAGCTTTAGCTCTACTATAAAAGATTTGGGTGTCATATTAGACAGCAATCTAACTTTTAAAAACCATATATCCCATGTCACAAAAACTGCCTTCTTTCATCTGAGAAATATCGCTAAATTACGAAATATGCTATCCATCTCAGATGCAGAAAAGCTAGTCCATGCTTTTATGACTTCGAGACTGGATTACTGTAATGCTCTATTTGCTGGCTGCCCGGCATCCTCTATTAACAAACTTCAATTAGTGCAAAATGCAGCAGCCAGAGTTCTGACCAGGTCTAGAAAATATGATCATATAACCCCAATTTTATCCTCCTTACACTGGCTGCCTGTTAAATTTCGTATTGAATTTAAAATATTACTTCTCACCTATAAAGCTCTAAATAATCTAGCTCCTGTTTATCTAACCAACCTTCTGTCTCGCTACGAACCAACTCGCTCCTTAAGATCTCAAAATTCAGGGCTTCTGGTAGTACCTAGAATAGCAAAATCAAGTAAAGGAGGTCGAGCCTTCTCTTTCATGGCTCCTACACTCTGGAATAGCCTTCCTGGTAATGTCCGAGGCTCAGACACACTCTCCCAGTTCAAAACTAGATTAAAGACCTATCTGTTTAGTAAAGCATACACTCAGTGCATCACCTAGCAGGTTCCACACTGGCTTCTACATCTTGCTTATATACACTATGAACAGCAGCTACGCTAATTATTCTCTTTATTCTCTATTTTCACCTGGGGATACTCATCCCGAGGTCCTCAGATTATGCGGAGTCACTGATTGGATCCAAGACCAGCGACGTGATGATCCCAAGGATTCCATATCCGGGACCAGGCCATATCCTGAGCTGCTGCTGCGCTGATGGTCGTGGGGAGTGGAGAACATGAGTCTGATTCCAGCGACGCTCCAGGGACAGACGAGTCTTCATTGAGGCCATCTTCCAGCATAAACCACGGCGAATGAAGTTCTGCACAAGACTTTTGGCCAGCGGAGAAATTAAAATGGTCGTGCCCAACTGAGTCTGGTTCTCTCAAGGTTTTTTTTCTTCACTCCCATCAGGTGAAGTTTTTTTTTCCCTCTCCGCTGTCGCCACTGCCTCGCATGGTTCAGGATTGGTAGAGCTACGCATCGTTGAATTTGCTCTTCAGTGTTTGAACTCTCAGTGATGATTAAATCACACTGAACAGAGCTGAACTGAACTGAACTGAACTTAAACACTAAAACCTGAACCACACTGTTCCAATTACTATGACCATTTATGTGAAGCTGCTTTGACACAATCTACATTGTAAAAGCGCTATACAAATAAAGCTGAATTGAATTGAATTGAATTGAAAAGCACACTAAATATGAAGGCCACATGATTTATGGAGCATGGAGGAAGGCTGAATGCAACCTTCCTCTCACTTCTTTTTTTATTGCCCTGGGAGTTATTTGAACCATTTGATATAAGGTAAAAGGCTATAACATGCTCTTCCTGGATGAATATGTGATACGGGAGAGCGACAATATCAAGCAACTGACACTGGTGACCTTTTATTTTTTTTTTCTTTATCTCGTTTGTTTTTTTCCCGTCACTCGCTGCCCTTTTTCAGTTCCCAACCAGGCGATGTGTGCTTTTACCTAATCAGAGGATGATGCGGACATGTGTTTTCTCTGCAATCAAGGGTCTATGTTCACAATGTGACCTCTATTTTCGATGTGTCAGAAAATCTGAAAAACCATATCATGAGCTGGTTGAGAATTGGTTCAGCTTCAAAGCGGCATTGTCTTATTTGTAAACCATCAAAAGAAAGCGAATCTGGACTCGAAAAATTGCATGCATGCTGTTTCTGTATCACGATCGAGATCATCCGAGCTAAAATCAAAATGGCAGGTCGTACTGTGAGTTCCTTTTCGGTCTCAACAAATCCTTATGTTGTGCTTCTTTCGTTCCGCCATGTTGTACAACAATGAAGTCTAGGGGTTTTTTTTATAATGACCGAAATCAACTCTAATATAAAAAGCTCTGAATCAATTTTAGTCATACCTTTGTTAATAACTTCAATAATCTGTATCTGGTCTATAATGGATGGCCATTAGTACAGGCCTTGTTGAACTGATTTCATGATGTATTGTCTTGTAAATCGTTTCGTGCCACCGTTGCCCTTGATGAAAAATGAGCCCAATTAGTGATATGCTCATCTCCATGTATAAGTAATCTAGGACAATAATGTAACTGCGACTGCATTTAATCGAACTCAGTCGCTTATATGGACTGGCTTCTTCAAGAAGCCTATGAGCCAAAGATCAAACTGACTAGACAAGTGCAATCTAGATTTCAGGATCATTTTTCTATTTTCTCCATCTCATAAACAACGGAAAAATTGAAACGATTGGCGTAATACTGATGTCTGGTAATTGAAATTGAGATCTGGTTATCATATTTCATCAATGCTCCTATAGGCTTCACACATGCTGAGCCTGTGAGAGGTCAGCGAGGTGGACGGCATGCGGGTACGTGCTATGAACAGTTGATTTAAATGCATACTTTATAACCTTTGGTGGAAGTTAACAATGAAAAAGTAGAATAATCAGATGGACTGCGTGAAACAGAAGCTAAATAGGCTAAAACTACCTATTATTATGTGCTGTCTATATCTGTTATTTCAGTTAGGGTTGGCTATTAAAATTATTGGTTTAAATATTTAAGTGTGTAACATTATAGAAAACCTAAAGATCATTTAAGATGCACAGCTGAGTTGCTGGAAACTGTTAATTTAGTCTGAATGGTTAGCTAACATAGTGTCGACTTAAAAATACTTTTTACCACAATCGCAGATGTTTTGTGAAACATTGTTAATATGTACCTTTAAAATGCATATTTAATTTGACTTAATTGACTGACAGTGATTTTAAAAAGAATGTTACAGAAATGCAAGTCTGACATGCATGTCACATGTCTAAAGTTTTCTCATTAGGCTACTAAATGCCGTGTTGGGAACTATATTCGTATGATAAAATATGCAATAAACAATAAACCCCCAACATTTCTCTGTTGACTTGCTTTGCATTCTTAAATATAAAGGTTTCACATTGGTTTTTTTGATGTGATGCCAAGGAAGAGCCTTTTTAGATTTCAAAAAGAACCTTTTAGAGACCTTTTTTAATTCAGTTATATAAAGAAAATAATTCACTTTGTCTAATTGATGTGAAATATTCTTCATGGAACCACTGGTGCCAATAAAGGAGTGTAGAGTTCAGCCCCTATACACAATCAAACATAACCCGCACCATGAGTTGTTCCCTGAAGATAAATGGTTAACTACCTGTTTGTGCTGGATTACATGTGCAAACATTTTCATGGGATGGCAAGTAAAGGAAGAGACTGTTGGATGTCGGACAAGTCAGCTCACATCTAAGCTACTCTATTCATGAATGTCTCATCATAATGCTTACCCCAAGGTTGCAAAATGCCACAAGTTTGTGGTTATTTTCGTGCAGCTGAGCGGAATTCAAATCCATTAAAGTGTATGAGGACACGGATTATTTGAACTTGCAAACGATATCTGCAGCGGGTCAATAAAATACTCGCTACGTGAAAGGCTGTGCTTTTAAAACAGTGCTATCACTATGTAGTCTCCACATATTGGCAGACGCTGACCTACTGCAGTTACTAACAAGTCGAGGCAACAAACAAAACTAAGCTGGCATGTTTCTCGTGCGTTTTCTTACCTCGTAAAACGCGGTTTAGGTCCTCATTGTAGATGAACAAAAACTTTACAGTAGGTATCCAAAACTTATTAAAAGCAGCAGCTGTGAGATGAGGTAAAATAACGGTTAGGACGATAAATTTCCCGCAGTCACGCCTTCCCGCGTCGCTCACACACGGAGTGCTCTGGAGCGGGGGGAAATTCCTCCGCAAACGACCAGCCACAGACACGGTCTAAATTACGAGACAACGACCCGGACCCGGAGAACCAGGAGCCACTGTGTCCCGAAGCGGTTAGTTCTAGCTGTGTCAGAAACACATGTGATGGAGAGCCGAGGACTGTACCACTCCTCTGTTCTCCCTGTGTGTATGTGTGCGCGCGCTGCGGTGCTGATGAGAGACCGGTCGTTTGCGCGGGATCTGTGCGATATAGTGTAGTGAGGCAGTGTCATTAACTGCACGAGGAGGACACGGAGCAGCTGAATGCGACAACACTGATCAAATCTTATTTTCATTTCTTTTTTGTGTTATTCAAATAAAACTGACTTTATCGAGCTCTGTAATAATTGGCCAATATATCAACATGTATATGGACGGAAGTCATTTCGCTTTCCCTTTTCATAAACTTTTAAAAGGAAAATGTGCACTTTCATTGACCCCAATGTTTTATACCGAGACGTAATTGAGTATATGTTAATGTTACAGGTCACTGTTTAAAATGATGTGTACATAAGGGATTGTTTTAATTCAAGTTTAATTGTAGTTCATGAACTATCAATGACAACCAAGTATAAACAAAGACAGACACAGATAGATAGATAGATAGATAGATAGATAGATAGATAGATAGATAGATAGATAGATAGATAGATAGATAGATAGATAGATAGATAGATAGATAGATAGATAGATAGACCACACAACTAGTGGGTTAGGGGGTAAGGAATGGTCAACAGTGTAATCAGTGTGCGAATTATGCATTGACAATCAGAGAGGTCAACTTTCTCGAAAATGTTATTCGTGTAATACATCTTCAGTGAAATACATGTATGTATTTATTTAAATGACATCTGTTTTATGAATAAAACCTATTTAAGTTTTCGGTGTATTTTTGTGTATTCTGAGCTACATCCTCTGATTAGCTATTTCAGAGGTTACTTTAGATCAAACTATACAAGCTGTGTAACTAACTTTACTCTGCTAATATATGTATAAGCAAACTATATGTAAAAACAAACACCTATTTTATAAGAAAAGTGTCTTGTAAATGCTTACCATGTCTGTCAGAGTAGACTGATTGATGCAATTATGAATTCACAATGGTATAATCCATTACAGGCGTGGTCAAATGTATATTTATAATATCTATTATTTTATTTAGTGATATTAGTGTTTAAGATACAGAGCAGAGCAAAATTGTTCACTATTTAGAGGGCTGACCCACCATACATTTTGTTTTGACGTCCTTCAGGAAAGATCAAGCATTAATTAAGGGGATCATCCCCACCAAACCCCCCTATAATTCGCACCCTAAGTGTAATTACATCTGTAATAAATTTCGGTAATGACATTTGTAATTTGTAATTACACTGTTGACCATCCCTTACAGCTTAAACCAACCCATACCACCAAACCTGTCTCTAACCCTACACATATCTCACCCCAAGAGCAACAGAAGTGCAATAAATAGTGGAGTTTGCATGTTCTCCCCGTTTTGGTTTCATCCGGGAGTTCCGGTTTCCCCCCAAGTCCAAAGACATGCAGAACAGGTGAATTGGGTAAGCTAAATTGGCCATAGTGAATGAGTGTGTATGGATGTTTCCCACTGATGGGTTGTAGCTGGAAGGGCATCCGCTGCGTAAAACATATGCTGGATAAGTAGGCGGTTCATTCCGCTGTGGTGACCACAGATTATTAAAGGGACTAAGCCGAAAAGAAAATGAATCAATGAATGTTTACTAAAAAGCTTTTTTGTAAAACTGAAATTACTCGTCCATGGTATCTCTGCAAAACTCTTTCGGCTGATAAATGTTTCTATATATCATATAGCACTGTATAGATCCTAATATTTTTATTTTATATATTATTTAGCCTAGTAACCTTGTTGCAGACAAAAACACACAATAAAAGTGCTAAATGAAACACATGCAATGATACAGTAAGAGTAGTCAATTCACAGTGTGTAGACAACCAAAGAGTCTTATAAGAAAACTCGCCCCATTCATATTTTATATCTGGGGTTTCCGAGACCCCAAACATAAGTAATGAAACATTTTTCATGGAGGTCTATTTTAAAGCTTGTTATCAAGTTTTTTTATTACCAGCTCTCACGAGAAACTATTGCGCAATCTGATGTCTGAATGTTTAGTACATTTTTCACGATATAGCAAAATGGCCTTGGGGTCTGTCAGAGCCTGAAGAGAACAGCAGGGCCCAATAACATCATACATTCAACAAGCTGCTAAAATCTCATTGCCATGAATGGAGATTGTGGTATTTTTATGGAAGCTGAAGCTATCATCATAAATTAGCGCTTGCCTAATGGCAATTGACCGGATTCCCTTAAAATAAAAGCTAATTTTCCTTTAGTTAATCAGTTAATTAGCAGTACAGATGGTGAGGTTTCCATGTGGCACCGTCTCCCCAAAGACTGGCCTGCAGTGGCATTTTTCATGTAGTTGTCCCTGCTTAGAGGACATTAGAGGGCCTTTTGGCTTTCATCAAAGAGCTGATGTGAAAAGCACATGGCATATGAATCGCACTTTGACGGCTGTGAAATGACAGCTCTCACAGTCGCTGTGTGTGAAGAATGAAGATCATTAATTACAAAAGCCCCAGCTACTTAATCCCACTCGAAAGAGAGCTTGAGGCGTCTGTTGTTCCCTTTGCCCTCCTCTGTTTTTCGCTCTCTTCCGATATCTCTTGTTTTCCCTTCAGTCGCCCCCATTTCTCCTCCTCCCCCACACCCGTCTAGCTGTCTTTTTCTCAGACTCATTCTTCTTTCTCCGTCTCATATTCTTTTCAGCTCTTTTCTTTTCCATTACAAACTGCACTTTTATCTCCTTGTTCTTTCTCTGAATGACTCTTTTTATCTTCTGCGGCCCTTTGCATGTCATGCAGTCCAGCGAGAAGAGAACCGGGAGTTGGAGTCCAGAGGTTTTTTGGACTCAGCAGGGGGAGCGGTAGTGATCTCCTCACCCTCCTCCTGCGTCCCAGCCCTCGGACCACATGCTGAGATGGAGTTATCTCTCGAGGCAAGCTGTTCCACTCGCCAGAGCTTTGCTTCCAAGTCTTCATGCCAAACACCAGCACATCAAACTCCCTCCCATCAGGAAGTGCTATTATCTGCATGAAAGCCAGTTTGATCAGTTGCCTTCCACATATGCAATTGAAGGACAACAACAGAAAAGTGATACGCTTCTATCTGCAGAGGAGCTAGGCTGACCTAAAATTGTAGTGTTTAGTCATTAAGCCTGTTAGGTGAGGCAAGTTTTGCTTAAAATATGATGATTTTATTATATTATTTTATTTTTTTATATGAAGGACATTGTACAAAAACAACTTACTAAAGATTTGACAATGAAGAAAATTAAACTATTTGTAATGTGTTTTACTTATTGATTTGAAATGCTTTGCAATAGTATGTTTGTTAGCAGTTTTATAACAGAGTAAGCTATGGAAAGCTGCTTTGGTTATACAGTTGGTCTATTGTTGCACCTACTACATTAACCAACTTCATTAGACTCATCTGCTTTATTAGACTGATATGCTTAAGATTATGGCATGTTTTTTTGCACTGTGTACATTTATGCAAATCTGAAATACATTGCTTTGGTTACATTGTGTTATATGTTTCACAAACTTGTCATTTTGTAAAAAAGTTTGGGCTTGTCATACAGATCACCAAGCAAATCACAGAACTAAACCCAACCATAAACCCAACCAATAGTGTTTTCAAAAGCAAATGAGAAAAGAAAAATTGCAGTCCGACCACATTTTTACCTTGATTTTACATTACTTTTATCTGTCTTAAGGAATACTCAGTATGTTTACATGGACATCAGTAATCATAATATTTTCCCTAATCTGAATAAGGCAGTAATGTGATTAAGGTGTTTACATGAGTTGCTTTTAAATGTTCCTTTCATGATCCTGTTTGACATGTTATAGCACATAGATTCATTATGTCATTGCGTCACCACGCTATCCACATTTCCTCTGGAGTTTCATGTAAATGTGAGTGTTTCATCTTAATTTGTTGACTTTAACTGCAGTTTGGCACTTTCACTTTCATTCTGGAACATTTCATGCATGCCCTCGTGACAAACGAGATATTGGATGCGAGTATGAACTGCTGGAAGTGTGTTGTTTTAATGGAATTTTTTTCCGCACACCATGTGAGGAAAAAAACCTCTGTATTTCGCGATGCAGGCGTCTAAGGTCCTTTAATGATTTAGTAGGTGCAGAGAATAGTGTCAAACAGCCGTGTCGTGTGTGTATGGAAAATGCCATCAAAAAATGTGGCGAAAATCCTACACAACGATAATAGTTTGATTGAGGTGTTTACATGTCTGTACTAAACATGAGTAATGCGACTAAAAGCATGTCTTTATCTGATTTCTGTTTAGTTCAATTATGACCTTAATCGGATTAAATTAATCAAAAATCCCGGTTTACATGGTAGACTCTTAATCAGGGTATTGTCTTAATCATAATAACATTTTTGATTATTATTATATTTATAAGCGTCCATGTAAATGTACTCTCTGTTTCACTAGAGTCACACCTGAGCACTCAACATTACATGAAGTTTACCACTGTACAAAGCGAGCTACCAAGCAAACTAGCCATACTAAGTTGTTCATAAGGAGATAAAGGTTAGATAAATGTATTCCAGTACAAATTATAGTCATTGTCAAGGTATTTATTTGATGTTGTGTGAATAACTGCACAAAATAATTCTATATTCGTCAATTGTTTTTGTAAATATGATTACCCAGCAAGTGTTTTTTGTTTTTAAAAGATGTCTAATAGATGTCTAAAC